AATCCTGTCAAAAGTCTGAGACTTACCTTGTCAAAAGTACAACGAAACAGCAATATGCAGCATTTTCAAAATCGGTCAACTGCACTTCGGTGGGACGAAATTCGACACGCCAGCCAATTTCTGGATGATCCGGAGGTGGTGGCTTGAAACGCATATTCATCCAATTGGTACTTTGTATTGTCTCGAAATGCTCCGATGATTTACTGTCATCTTGCTCAATACGCTCACGAAACACCTGCGAGTTCATACTACTTTCACTTTCTCATCATTATCACATGTTACCACCAAATTTTTGAAGAAACCTGTAAAGGATCACGAAGGAACATATGTGCAATATGTCGTGATAAAAGTTCATCAATTCCGCCATCTTTCAGTTGCTGATAGATTTTCTCATCGTACTGTAAAGGAATGTCATTGTATCTGGAAAATAAATTTTTTTTTTTTAAAAAGCAAATAAATGCAAAATTTTAAGGGCCCAAAAGAAAAAAGAGGAATAAATATATTTGTCCAAAGAAAACTATAGGGTCCAAAGAAAAACTAATAAATCAATGTACACATCTAAACCTAGAATCATTGAGACAATGGTGAATTCATGAGGCCAAACGAATGTCAGAATCACCAATAAATCAATGATCAAACAATACAGCACTGGACAAAGCAACTGGAAGAGTTGTCAGCTACATCAGCGGAGAAGAAAGCTCTGTGTCTCAGGAGTTATCATAAGTATTTTAAATGTATTTAAAATCATGGTGCTTCTGGAAAAGGGAAAACTTATTAACTTAAAAATAATTTTAAATTAAAAAATGCCGTACTTACTCGGTCGCACATGGACTAATATAGCAATCGGTAGTATCATAGCGGCTTTTTTCCAACACAAATTTATCATTTTTCAACGGCACTAAACCTCGCTCCTCAGCTGTACGATCGTCCACGCTCTAAATAATAAAGTTTTTTTAAGTGATTTTTAGCATAAAGTAAATGTTACCCATTTCAGAGCAACAGAATAATTGTAAATAACCAGTTGCGCTCAACATGTCGGTCAACCTAGTAACGCCACCGGCATGGGATTCCCTCTACAGACAGCCCGGGTGGTCTTGGTATTCTTGGTAGTAATAATAATACTAATAATAATAATACTAATAATAATACTAATAATAATAATAATAATAATAATAATAGAGGTAATAATAGTGATAATAATAACAATGATAAATAACAATAATAATAACGATAATAATAATAACAATAGCTGATAATAACAATAACGACTGTACTTGTCTTGATAATTAAATATATAAATATAGTAGTTACTGATACAGCTTTTGCGTTTCTTCCCTTCCTGCCCCCCTCCTCCCCTGCTCTCACGCCACCCCCTCCCCCTCTACTGCAGTACTCAGCAACGTCACAGGTGCTAATGACAACGATGGGCTGGTTCATATAGCAGTCCCAGTGCTAATAAATGTCAGTTCAGGAAAACCCAATAATAGTCAATATAAATATTCACCGCCGATATGATACTCCAACGTGAATCGACATCTGCAAGGCGGGATCGAAACACTGGCGTAGCAGCCGAAAGTGCTAGTAATACGGGTGTTATGGGAGTAAGTTGATCGTACAACCATCGTGCCTCGCTGATATTAACAGCCTGAAGCAGGCGCCAATAGTCACAGGAGACGAAGACTGCGACTAGAAAACACGCAGAAGAATCCGAATCCAACAAAACTGATCATCAACAGAACTAAGACAAAAACCATGACCATTCGGGCCACCATTAATTAGATTGTAGAAATCAGGTCCGCCCTGAATGCTCAGTTAGTGGAAAACAGGAAGATTGCAATGAAAAATGAGATCAGGCGATTTTCAGTTATTTTTTAAAATCATTGAAAAGCCAGCATACGATCAAGATATCACTAAGTATTGTACAAAGGCAAGGGTTGTAGCAAAACCAAACCGCTTTAATTAAATTCATTCCATTATTCATCAAGTATGGTACTAATTTCAGGTCTAAATTTTACGGAACACGGATGTAAAATGCTAAAAAACCACAGAGTTTTCTCGGAAGACTGCATAGAATTCCTTTCCAAAATATTCCAAAAATTTTCTTAGCAATGCGGTAACGAAAAGTATAAAAGATGTAAAAGAAAAACACACCCAAAGTACAGAGAGGGACAGGTGGAAGAGGTAGACTTGGTTATCCAACAAAAAGAATTCATGCCCTAAAAATCAAAATTACCTGAAATGTAACTTGTAAGCAACAGCAACCCATACCGAAACCCATGTGATCCATGTATATGTGATTTGGTTTCGCTGCTCGCATTGCTTCACCGTTATCTTTTGCCTGGCTAAAATCCTCCTGCAATTCGAAACACAGCAATTCCTCATCCATCAACTGCGAATCAATACTGGCCATGTATCTCAGGGAGTGAAAGATCGTTAGAGTGCCAAAATTTTCCGCGTAAGAAAATTAAACTTGCGAAAAACTAAGCCAAGAGGCCCGAAAGTGCACTAAAAATAGCAAACTACGCCAAAAAGCAGGAAATATATCCAAATACGAAAAATCCGAAAGTACATAATTGAAAAAAAGTTATGAGGTTTTCCCCTTTTCCGCCGAAACCTA